ATAAATTAGTGTTACTTTACAGAGAAGAAATTTATTGAAATGAATCCTTAATTCATAAAAGAAATAGAATTAAAATTTTTTGCATAAACTTACCTAGGAATTTCCAGCTAATACTGTTATATTCTAGCTCGCAATAATGTTCTTACAGATGTTCCATACCGTATCTTAGTATTCATATGTTCTACTTCATTGTCTTTTATTTTAAAAATTGGACCTAAATGAGTTTGGTCTAAAGTGTATGTGCTTTGCTTAACAGTCACAACAGTCCTCTTTGGAAATTCAAGAAATGCAGGGCTAGTTCTTCTATGTTTTATGTACTGTCCTGGCAGCAGTGGGATGAGCTGGTTGTTATTCCTGTCTTAAAACTAAGATATGTAGGAACTTGTTTCTGTTTTTGGATTTTATTTTTGTTTGTTTATTTCTTTTTTGGTTTTGCCTTTTTTTTTTTTTTTTAAATAATATTTTTCATCTCACTGGGAGAAGGGTTATTTGTTTATTTGTTTCTTTAGCTATTGTTTTTTTACTCTATTCTTGCTAGCTGTTGCCTCCAGAATACAAATTTGGAGCAGACAAGAGAAATAAGTTTCACTTAAGTGTAGCAAAGTTATTTAGATGTAGATTTCTGCTGTCCTTTTAGGAATGGTCTGGCATCGAGTTCTTTATCTAGCAAGGAGCAGATATATACTGAGTTCTGTGTTGGCTCTGTCAGCCCTGGGCAGATGACCTAGATACAAATATTTCACTAGAATAAAGTAGAATGCAAATACCCATTATATTTTTTTAGCATGTAGAACTACAATCATATTAATCTTTTGACCTCAGGTTGTTAAAACATTTTTCTTTAAGCTCTTCTGTGTCATTTTGAATGTCTGTTTTATGTACTATAAGAGTATAATAGGTTTCATAATATATAGAAGTAAGGTATATACACTCAACTAACAGATTAGAAATTTCACATACTGAAGGACTAAGTAATTACTTTATTTATGAAGTCTATCACAACAAGCGACATCAGACACTTTAGAACAGGACCTTATTTCATCATACTTATTTTATCCTAGAACTACTGGACCCCTTAATTTAGCTGGCACAACGGACAGAAATATGAAGCATAAACATTATATCATATAAATTACTAGTATGAAACCTGTATAAATATAGAAATAATTCAGTGCCTGAGTAGCCTGACTTAATCTCCCCCTCCCTAGCTTTTAGACTGGTTAGAGATATGACAGGGAGCAGAACTCTAATTCACAGTGTGTCTTGCAGGCTGTAGCTGTGGCTCTGAACAGCACATCATCTCTTTGCTGAGCTGATGGGAAAACCACACCTTATCCTGTAATAAGCATGTTAAGAAAGATTCAGAGCTTTCACTAGACAGGAAATGAGCTCAATGCTAACGGAGAAAAAAAAAGTCTGTAGAAAACCCTTAGGAAGTATGCATTTCTTTGCAGTTTGGGTGTTGACAGTGTGATCTTTTGAAAGTTAAAGCTTTTTTGAAAGGCTTTTGAAGCAACTTTCATGAAATTAATTCCCATTGCCTACCAGGATCAGCCCTAAATCTCAAATGAAGGAAAATCAAAGGTACCATACTATGTGCTCAGTCACAGCTATAGTAAAGTTATTTTTCTGTTAAGTTCTCAAAGTTACAGAGACAAAACAGAGCCAAAGAACTTTTGGAAAAAGAAAGAAGAGAAATGAGGGTTGTTACTGTTCCTAACTGGAATGGGACTATTGGGCAGCCCAATCATTGTGACAAGTGAATACAGAGCTCTTTACACTGAATAGTATTACATTTGTAGGTATTTGTTCTATATAGATCCATGCCTTCAAAATGTTTCAGTATTTTACAAGAATTACTGACATTTGCTGGACATTATTAAAAGAAAAAAATTCAATGAGATGGAAATGAGCATGGTGCATATTTATAATAAATGTATGCGTATGTGTATGTGTGTGTATATAAAATAACAGAGTTAAAATGCTACATTTTGCCTCAGACCTGCTAGGGGAGCAGATGCTGCCCCTACTGTAGGTTTCTGTGCTGTATGCGGCCTCAGAGTTTTTGGTCTAGCTCCTGGCCACCCTCTTATGTTCTTAGGACACCAAGCCTTTTTGCAAGATACCATGGAGACACAGCAGTTCCTGCCCATGGCAGGATTAGCTCATTAGTGTCGTGTACAGAGACAAATAGGATCGCTTTTGAACATGATATGTTTGAATAGAAATTACACTTAGGTGTGGAATAGCTTTCTTTAGTATAAGCTACCAACAGCTGAAACAGTAGATTGCTTTTTATGGTTCTCACTACTTGGAAGCTTGGAGAGTTTATGCTCATTCTTTGTTACTTTTAGTGAGATTTTCTAGTATCTCCAGAAGAAATATATCAACTAAGTTTTAGAGGAGACAGTAAAGTTTCCTAGTGTCTCTTTTTATTTAGATTTCATGAAAATACTGTAGAAACTACATGAAGATCAAAAAGCCAGAATTTGCTTTAGAGCCTAGAAATATTATATATTTCATCAAGTTTCTTTTTATGAGGTGGTATTGAAAAGCTTTGTAGATTTTAAATCTTGCATTGTCCTAGAGGCAGAGAAATAGTAAATCTACCTCAGCTCCACCCTAAAGTGTTTTTAATTTGATTTGTAACAAACAAATAGAAAGCTGAGAGTCAAAAAAAAAAAAAAAAAAAGACTGTGCAAATTTGGCCAGAGAATTTCCAAATAAATAAAATAATAAAATAACTTCAGCAATTTGATATGATGGCAATAAAGTTTAGGGATTTTTGTAAATCTTAGCAGTGGATGCAATCTTTCTTTCATTCCAGGAAAGCTGTAAAAACATGTCCCATGATGACCTACTGTGCTAATAAAATAGAATTATGACAAGTTTGATATACAAAAGAGGTTTCCTAGCCATAGGATTGATTTAAAAGCAAGTCAGTTTTTCTCTCTGTGCTGAAAAGTATGATTTTGGTATCTAAGCTAATCTTTTTACTCCTATAGTGACACTGAGACAAAGTGAGAAACCTAGGGATGAACTGCTCATTCCCAGTATGCAGTAGTTTGGTCACCTCAAAACCTAAATCGAGGCACCTGACTAATAGGTTACTGTATGGGTACTGATTGTATTCTCCGTACATGATAGTAAAGTCCCTTCAGGATTGGGTGGCTAACTGCAGTGCTGAAGTGTCAGGGGCCAAGTTTCTCACTAGAACTCACTTCCAGTGTTGAGCTTGACCTCCTTACTTGTGTGAAAACTGTGTTCTTCAGTAAGGTTTTATCTACTGCTAACACCTCAGGCTGAGATCAGGTCTAGCCTAATGTCACAGGAAAAGAGACAAGCTGTGGGCAATGTGGCTTAATTCAAATATAACTGTGTTAAAGCAATTATCATGTCACAGGGAGCGGAGGAAAGCAGTCCTGACTCAATCAGTGAACTCTTTTTGAACAGATATCAAAAGAAGGACTAAAGGGGAACATTTTCTCTCTGCTGATATGATGTGACCACGAATCCTTAAGAGACTTCTGCTGTATTCACCTATGGCTCACAAAAGAATTAGATTTCTTCTCAAGGGGAAAAAATACCAAAATTACCCAAAAAATCAATCTGTCAATCATCAATTCCCTCCAGTGTATGTCCTCTTTCTCTTTGGCAATGCAGGAATTGTCGGATGCTTTTCTCTCACAGTCCTTACTGCATGCAGTTCAGGCTAATCGAAGCATTTCATATATGGTTTTCTACTAATAACCCATACTGTATAGTTGGATGCATATAGAGATTCCTTTTGACTATCTAATTGCCTTTTTTTCTCCTAATTTAGCTAAATATATGATTGGCATAAACTCTAACTGTAGCAAGCTGATTACTAAACTCAGGCAAACCAAAAAAAGAAAATCTTATTATTTCATTCCATAATTCACAATCAACAAATACATATTTTTTTCACATGGTTATAACTCTTCACCAAATTTTTCATCAGTGGCTTAGGCACAAGTTTAAGCCATCATGACCAAAGTTTGGCATATTGTTCTGTAAATAACAAAAAGTGTAGTATACTTAAACATTTTTTTATTTGTCTTCTGTCATCTGCAAATTTAAGGAGGTGTCTAAAGAAGACATAGATATGGATCTCAATCTATAAGGAGCCCAGAAGAAAACTTAGACAACAGCAGGTGCTAGGATTTAAGTCCTGTTTGTAACAGTAAAACTGATGTTTCTCCTCTGTCTCTGTTGCCAAGAAACTTTGCTCCCTAAATGCAAACACTATTTGACTACTGTCAATTTATTGGCAAATCTGAAAGGAAACACCTATATTGACAACAGCTTTTTCTTTACAGTAGTAAATACATGCCTCCAACAAGACCTTAGGTTGGGTTATATTTCTTGAAGACAGCATTTACTTTCAAGTCAATAGGAGTAGTAATGATAAGACACATTAAAATGCCATAATGATGGTACCAGGTATCATCACCATTACCATATTGTTATTCTATTTTGTATATGCATGTATTCACTCATATATCTGCCAAATCTGACATACCACCATACTACCTTTAATTGTTACAAATGATTTGAGAGGTAATCCAGTTGGAAAATAAGAGCAAGAGTGGAAAAAAATAGATTCTCTTACACTTCCACGTTACATCCTTTCCCCTGCAGTTTTGGTTTTTTTGTTTGTTTGTTTAGGGCTTTTGTTTATTTTTCTTCCTTTCCATGTTTTTAATATGTAGAATTTCTTGAATTATATTCCTGAAAATAAACTGAAAAAAATTTAGAGATGTAAATAAATGCATGCTCCTGAGTCATCTGAGTTTGTTGGAGACAAACACTCTAAAAATATTTTTGACTGTTTTTTTCCAATTTCACTGATTTGGCAATCCTTTAAAAACATTCAACAAACAATTGCTCTTAATCAGTGGAACAATGAAGCAATATATGACACTACACTAGGCAATCATGCTTCATAATCAACAATGAATCCAGAATGTTTTGCTTACCTGATATCTGTGATAGCTATAAATAACCAGGTGGGATGATGAATTATATATAAGAAAGCTACTGTTTTGCTTCTCATGAGAAAAATTCTCTGAAACATTCTAATTCTCTATGAGCCTCTTCGACTTCAATGTCATCTTCATCTTCAGAATTAGTATCCTTGACACACTGTCAGATATTATGTACATTTAGAAGGATGTTCCTCTAGAATTGCTTTATCACAAACTGCCTTTTACAGTCTTCTCTATTGTGAAACTCCATAAACCTCATACAGTTCTCCCCCCACACTGCACTGATTGAGAAGCTTTTATTGTCAGTCAGATATCTCTCTCTCTCTACTTTCTGCTGCCAGATAGTAATGATGAAAATTGCATTTCAGATGTCCACCTCCTCTTTTTTTTCCTTTCTGGGAGAACAGTAAAGTATGATATTAAAATCTCTGAATGCCAGAAAACTGTTATTTATCTGTGTTTTTCAGCACTCCATCTTCTGCAGAAACATCTGCTTCTATCCATGTCTCCTCTGTAAGCCAAATATATATATGGGATAATTTTTCAGCATTTCCAGACATGTCAAATGACAGTAAAAATTGAATGCTAAAAGCATTTGGTCTCAAGTTTTCTCTTCTAAATCTTGTTTTGAGCTTGGAAATTTGTAACATTCTTTTCATTCAGGTGTTCCCATGTTACTACCAAGGCATGACAAGAGATTTTCTTGTATTTGCTTTTGAAAGTAATGTGTGCTGTAGGAGTATCTTGCTCTTATATTGACTATTTTTGCATTTGTTCATTTTAACACTACTGACTCTTTTCAAGTCTTACAGACAATTTTTTGCCTCTCCACTTTTACAGCTCCAATGTTCATTGATGCAATTAGAAAGGACTAATTTCCATATCTTTAGAATCCAGGATTGTAGAGGGAAGTGAAAGTGATTGGATACCAAGGACAGAAAAAAAAAGGCAAATCTCCATGCTGAACCTCGAGGTTCTACAGTTATACCCCCCCAAAATAGTCTTTTTCAAACTCCAGGATGAGTTAAAAATAGAAAGACTGCACTAGCTTTTTATAGAAGGTAACAAGTGATGGGTAATATTTTCAGTGGAAAGAGGTCCTGTGAGAAGTAGGAAGTGAGATTTGGTGAAATAACTTAGATAATTTTAATCTAAAGCAGAATTTTTTATGAAAAAAAAAGAGAACACCATAAATTAGTATTGAGTGGCTAAGTTTTTTGGAGCATGTTTAATTTTTTTTTAATAAAATATTGAAGAGTTATGCAAATGTAAAAGTCTTATTGCAGTGGTACTCCATCATATGCCAGTAAACTTCCAAAATCAGGATTTTCATTACAGTTGCTTACACCATTATTTTAAGTCATTTATAATTCATCAGTACAAATTCAATGCAGGTTAAATCATAGTATACAACTTTCTAATCCACAGAAAACATTTCTTCCAGTAGGTTGCTTTTATCAAGTTACAGGATCCATACCAAAAATTTTGATATGGACACTGTGGCTTGTTCTTCTTCTTTCTTTGAGACATGTTACCTTTCTATTGAAAAAAACCCAACAAAAAAACAGAAAAAGAAAAAGAAAATACCTTTTAAAACAGCACCTCTGTTTTCTCTATTAGCTATAATAGCTAATGTAGTATTAGAATAGCTTTCCCTTAAATATTCTAGAAGACATTCTAAATCCCTCTAAAAATGGAATTTGAAATTTATTATTTCAGGCAAACTGGAACAATAACTAAAAAGAAAAAAACAAAAAAAAAACCCAAAACCCAACCAACCAACCAAACCCAAGAGCAGAAGCAACTTGGTGAGTGGTAATTAGTTCAATTCTCTTTTAAGTTATCAGATCCTCCTGATAAATCCATTGCTCTTGCTGCAAGTGCAAGAAAAAGAGTGTCCCCCTTGCCCTCATCTTGCATTTCATTGAAGGGCTCTGCTGCTCCCATTTAGCCTACAGGATTGTATTTTATTTGTGTGGAAACCAGGAGCTGCAGAGATGGAGTGTAAGTCTGAACCACCACCAGTCTTTCAAGCTGGGTTGCAAGCACATTGTCATGAGAGTGCCTGGACCAGACGACATGGATATGTTCCTGGATACAATATTATAGATGTCACTTACAATGTGAATGTTTTATTGGATACATGAAAAAAACCCATTCCACTGCTGTGAATAATTAGGGTTAAATTGTTAAATTGTTGTGAATAATATATATGTGCACATTGATGTCATTCACCCTCTTAAAGAAGAAATCACTTGCATGACATTAGGAAGAACTATTTGGTTCACTCTGCATGTCTATTACTAGAATGTCATTCAAAGCAGATGCATTTTGCATTGTAATCTGAGAGTAATTAGGCTCAGTAATGAATACAGAATAGCATAACAGCTTTTCCTCATGGGCTCCATCAGCCACGGTGTTTCCTCTCAGCACAGCTGCTGTGATCGTGAACAGAAAGGGATGATTCTTGTGATGTATCAGTCAAACACTCTCGTTGCTATTAAGTCTCAAAGGCAATAACATAAAGTCTGAATTGGATTTAAACTCCAAGATTTGATTTATACCAAGTATTTTTTTAAAATACAAAACTCAAAAAATCATGCTGCAGTTCATCACTTCTTGTTGCAATGAGATACATGTTTATGTTTCTCAGGAACAGGAGCTCACAGAAGCAATGGAATTTAAAATGGCAATTGTAAATGGCCTCATGGAAAGAAAAATAGTCTTAGGAAGAAGTAAAAATGATGAGTATGCATACTCTTAGTAGCGAAAAACTGCTAAGCTAACAGTAAAACTTATCACATCTTTGATTTATGACAACATGACTGATGCAGCAAGAATAATATTTAATTCTGGTCTTTGTTCAGTTTACAGAAATTATGACATTAATGGCTATCACAACATAACTTTCTTCTCTGATACGGTAGTTTAAAAATATGTCATAAAAGACATGCAAAGAACTTTGAGATGTCTGTAATATGATGGGACTACTGTATGTGCTATTTCATAATTATTTAGGAATAATTCAAGAAGGAAAAGCTGCATTCAAGTGGAAGTGAAGAAGGCGGTCTGGTGCGAGGTGCTCTAAGAGTACCTGAGAGAGTTCATAGTGCCAGTCATCTGTGGATGTGATGGTAAATGTTGGTAAAATCACAGCAAAACTGCGTCTTGTCTTCAAATAAATTTAGGCTCAAAATATTTATTACTTGCCAATGAGTGTGTTCTAAGAATATATACATTTTTTAACAGTAAGAATGAACTGTTGCCAGCACAGAAAAAAAGGCCTGGCCTATTGTAATGATTGCAATTCTTTAAGTTGGGGTCGGAACAAAAAAAAACCCCTAAACTGCTCACTTTCTTAAACAAGAATCTTGCATAAATTTCCCTTTTGTTCTGACATTCTACTTGCATGTGTGACGTTGTGACTCTATAGAATATAATTTTAGGAAATAAAGATGTAGTCTTAGTTTATTGCACAAAATTTTATACAATGATATCAAGTAACACACTGAAATCTTCCCTGCTGCATCAGTTTCTCCTTCATTCTTAGTTTTATTCCTTTTTCTCTGCTACCTGTTTAAATTCAAGCAGGAGTCGTTCTATAATAGATCTCACACTGAAGTGATTACCTGCACAATTTTGACTGATAGTGACAAGAATTACCTTGTGCAAATAACTTTTGTTCTTATTTACCTTATGACTGTTTCTCCAGCCAAGTAGTGTGAAGGAGCCTTCATGCAATAGAGAATGACATCCAATGAGTTGCACTTTGAATGATATTTCTTTTTTTTTTTTTTTTATGGAGCAAGGAATACTGCAAAGCTGAGTTCAACATGTCCCAGCCTGAAACTGTTCCAGTCTGAAAACTGTCCTGTCACAGTACTGAAGCGTAAATGCATTTTTTAGTAGACTCAAGCTGAGCCACTGCAGTTCATTGTTTATTAGTACTGAAAGAAGTTTGAAGCAACTGCTTCATTTTTCAGTTATTCTTATAACATACATATATTTTAAATTTAAAAGTCAAGGCTGCTTTTGTTAATCTATCCTAGATATACTTTCCTGTTTTTCTGCATTGCTGTTAATGTTCACTAAATCATGTATGATTGTAGAGGTCTTCTTGAATAGCAAATCTAAAGTGGCTGGATGGATGCTCATTGAAGTGTATAAACATGCATATGAATTCCATCCTATTGGCATATACAATGGAAGGACTATTGAGACTTAGGAGGATTTTATTCCTGGTTTGCTAGTGGTCTATCGAAAGGCTTAGGGACAGCTATTTTACCACTTGTGTTTCCCTTTCTCAAGAGCTGAGCTAGTGCTATTTATCTCCTTCCTAGAGCACTCAGATATCTGCAAGGAAAAGTACTATAAAAATGTATGCTATTAGTAAAATTAAAAAAAAGTTACAAAGTAAAACACAAGTAAAAAAAAAAACAAAAAAAAGTTGTTACTGGATCAGCGTGATGTGATAGAAAACTTAAGGAGGCTGTTGTAAGGAAAGGTCAGCCTTATAGAAAATTGAGAGCTTATCTAAATGAAAAGAAAAAGAAAGCCCCTAAAACATGGCAGCTTGAGCTTAAAGACAAAGTCCAAAGACTAGAACAGAATTAGAGAGTGGTTCACAGAGAATGCTCGAGTTGCTAGTAAGTAGTTGTTTACTTCTCCATCAGATATAAGAAGACAAACAGGATAATCGATGACCAAGGTGTAACAGGTTACTCAGAGATGAACAAGACAGAGCAGAGTGTGCAACAGATTTTTGAATTAGTCTACTGCTTAAGTCTTTGATAATTACCACTTCCTCACTATTCTTACGGCAGAGGGATCAGAGGAGTTAGATACATTTGTTGTGAGTATACAGGAGGAATTAGACCAAACAGAAAAGTCAGGTAAGTTTCCAGAACTGGATGATGTTTGGGAGAAATCTTTGGAGTAACTCAGATGTGAAACTGCAGAGCATCTGGCAAAGCCTTGTAAACTTTCACTGTAAATAGTGCAATGCAATTTCTACTGTGCTAGAAGAGTAACTCCCATTACAAAATAAAAAAGTCTGGGAGCCACAGAGGGGAACCTGGAAACTACAGACTGGAAAATCTGATTTCTGTATCTAAAAGG